CGCATGTCGTTCCAGACCTGACTTCGTTTTTTTTACTCTGTGGAACACAAAATAAAATCTGTTTTTGACTATGTAATGAAAGGCAAGGGGACCAAAAACAACTTTGGCAATACTCTTTTTAGAATATCTTTTTTGTGGACAACATGAGGGCGAGTAAAAGAAAACACATTTTTCATTATAAGGCAAAACAGTGGATGTAAAATAAAGCAATAAGCCCCAAGAAGCCGTGGTTTACTATGAATTTATAACAGCTAAGGGACATTGTTGTTGGGTACGACGCGAAGCGCAAAACGGTTATTCCATATATGTAGTAAGGTTTCACAGAATAAAACAGAGCAAATAAAGTGTAATGATATTAATAAAAACAGTGTTCTTCCACCAAACATTGTAGTTCCTCAGAAACAGTTGTGTTTGCAACAAAGTGGTTGCCGAGCAACACACAGAAGTAAACAAAGGTGTATGTTTGTAGAGTAATTTACAACAGCTTCGAACGTGGCTCAACCAATCAGAATCAAGGACCGGAACTCTCCGTTTTATAATATATTATTTATATTAGATTATGCATTAATATTATAATATTAATTAAATTATAAAAATATACCTTTGCATAAACAAATTATACATCTAACAGTACAGTACTATAGTGTGTAAAAAAAAATGTAATGTTATAGAAAAATTTATATTTTACACACATGAATATACTTTAATATAATTAGTATAATAATTTTTCACAGTATAAATTTTCATGAGGTTACCAGTTTTCCAGGCACGGATAAGATTTGGTTGTGCTCAACAGTAACCAGCTCGCGAAATATTTACTACACAATACTGTAATTTCACCTCAAAACATGTTAAATAGACCAATAAACGAAAAAATAAACTCTCAATTTGCAGTAAAATAACTGAATAAGTAATATTTAAGTGAGCAATAAACATCAACAATAAAAAATAAGAGTAGTGCAAAATGAAAAAGAATAAAATTAAGAATACAGCAGCACTAAAAGGTATATGGACGCTTGAGTCTCAGTTAAAATGTCTGAATATCATTACATTAGAATGTAAGGAAAAAATTAAGAATAAAAAAATTTAGAAAAAAATACAAATAACATTATTAAATAGACCAATAAACGAAAAAATAAACTCTCAATTTGCAGTAAAATAACTGAATAAGTAATATTTAAGTGAGCAATAAACATCAACAATAAAAAATAAGAGTAGTGCAAAATGAAAAAGAATAAAATTAAGAATACAGCAGCACTAAAAGGTATATGGACGCTTGAGTCTCAGTTAAAATGTCTGAATATCATTACATTAGAATGTAAGGAAAAAATTAAGAATAATTTTTTTTTGAAAAAATACAAATAACATTAAATATGTAACTAAAATGATTTTATTCTGAAAATAGCTACAGAATAAAAATAAGTAAAAAAAATAATTCAATTTGCATTCAATAAAATATATTATTATATGATATATTAATATTATATGATTAATATTATAATATTTAAATAAATAATAAAAAAACTATTTACATAATACATTTAACAGTACAGTACTGTAGTATATAAATATTTTTCAAATAATATTTTACATGTATTTATTGTATTACTTTTTCAAAGTATAAATTTGGTCTTTATACATTAAAATATTAAATTTTAAGATGAGGATGATCATATTTGGGGTCCTTGGCATCAAAAAGACAAAAAAAAAAACCTGCATTAGTTTACAAAATATCGAAGCGAGTGTTGGATTACTAATGCTTGTTCACACAGACTGAATCAGTCTGAAGGCGTCGAGTGACTTTTGTAACGGATCATAAAATAATCAGAGTGAAACAGACAAACGGTCGTCTTTGTTGTCAGTGTTGAGTGCTGATAAACCTGGAGAGTGTGTGTGTGTGTGTGTGAGAATGATAGATGAAGCTCAGAGGAGTGTCTCATACACGCCTCTTACACACACACACCTCTGATAAACCAACAACTAACTGTTTGAGAAGCGCCATAGTCCTCTTTTCATAAGGTTACTGGTTTATCTTGCACAAACAAGATTTGGTTTGCTGTAATTTCATCCCAAAACATCAATAAGCTAATAAATTAACACTCAAAAAAATAAATAAATTAAATAAACCTTAAAAGAAGCATGTGGGGAAAAAAGGATGTGGAACTGTGATCAGCAGTAACCTGCTTATGAAATACTTCCAACATTATGCTTGAATTTAGCCCCAAATCATCATACGTACAAATAAATAAAAACAAATAAATTAACTGTTAATCTACAGTAAACTATACATAATACAAAGAAAACAATGTCACTATATAAACAATAAAAATAACAATGCAAAATAAAATAATTAAATAAAAACAACTTTGCAGAGTAAACAAAAAAAGTTGCAATAAAAATAAATAAATAAATAAATGGCAAAAAACAAAAAAAATTAATCTTAAATAAACCAGTACTTAAGAATAATGTGGAAATGTTATCAGTAACCTGTTCATGAAATATATACACAGACAAAATGCTTGAATTTAAAAACAATAAAAATAAATTAACAAATAATAAACAAATAAATGAACAAATAAACTGATAAATTAGCTCTCAGTTTAGAGTAAAATAACTGTATAAATAATACAAATTTACAATAAACAAGACAATAGTTGGTAGCATTTTATTTTAAGGTGTCCTTGTTACACGTTACGTGCACTTACTATTATAATAACAATTAATTATACGTAATTATATGCTAGTAACCCAAGCCAAACCCTAATAAAAATCAATCAATCACCAATAAAAAATGCAGTGCAATATAAAGTGCTAAATAAAAATAAATAAATAAGAACAACTGTGTAGAATAAATCAAACAAGTTGCAATAAAAAAATTTAGCAAAAATTAATACATTAAAAAAAAAAAGATTTTGGATTTGGAAATGTTATCAGTGGTAACCTGCTCAGATATATTTACAGCAAAATGCCTGAATTTCACCTCACAAAATCACATTAAATGAACAAATAAACAAACAATTTAACCAAAGAATTAACTCTGTTTACAGTAAAAAAAAAGTGTATAATAATAATAATATAACAATAAGAATAAATTAGTGTAATAAGTCATACTAATAATAATAATTATTGTTGTTATTATTATTATTAACTAAATTGTATAATAATAAATAAAAATTCAATAAAAAGGTGGTAATATCAACAAAAGCAATTAAAACATTAATTGTGCAAAATAAAAAAAAGCCAAGCAACTAGCAATCAACACATTTAAGAAAAAGCTACAAAGAAAAAGAGAGTAATTAACTTTAAATAAACCAGTGCTTAATAAAGACAAACTAAGATGAAATGTGCCACTGAAATGAATGACCATCTGTTTTGTGTGCCTGTGTGTGCGTGTGTGTGTGTGTGCATGTGTGTCTGGGTGTGTCTGTGTGTCTCTGTGCGTGTCTGTGTCTGTGTGTGTGTTTGTGTGTGTGCGTGTCACCTCGATCAGTAGTGGGTGTGTGTGTGTGTGTCTCCCCGATCAGTAGTGTGTGTGTGTGTGTGCATGTGTGTCTGGGTGTGTCTGTGTGTCTCTGTGCGTGTCTGTGTCTGTGTGTGTGTTTGTGTGTGTGCGTGTCACCTCGATCAGTAGTGGGTGTGTGTGTGTGTGTCTCCCCGATCAGTAGTGTGTGTGTGTGTGTGCGCAGCTCCTCATAAGTTTTACATCGGGTTCCGATACGTTCATCCTCTGACGGAGGAGGCCATCGAGCAGATGGAGAAGGACGGAGTGGAGAGAGCCTTGGCCTTCACGCAGTACCCACAATACAGCTGCTCCACCACAGGTCACACTCACTGCTCCTGACATATCTATGAGCTTAATCCTTCGAAAGAGCTTTAATCAAATCCTCTGTCTGACGTGTGTGTGATCAGGCAGCAGTCTGAACGCCATCTACAGATACTACAGCAGTCGCAGCGACAGGCCCAAGATGCGCTGGAGTGTGATTGACAGGTGGCCGACACACCCACTACTGATCGAGGTGACACACACACACACACACCCACTACTGATCGAGGTGACACACACACACACACACCCACTACTGATCGAGGTGACACACACACACACACACCCACTACTGATCGAGGTGACACACACACACACACACCCACTACTGATCGAGGTGACACACACACACACACACCCACTACTGATCGAGGTGACACACACACACACACACATAATTAAAACGTTCTCCTCTTTAGTTTGCTGTCATCCAGTAGTTTTTGCTGTAACATGCAGTCGTCGTTACTTGAGCACATCTCTAGCAGCGATTAAATCAGGTTTGAGTGGCACATGATGATTTTCCTCCGTGTCTTTCAGTGTTTTGCTGAACATGTTGTGAATGAGCTGGAGAAGTTTCCTGCAGAGAAGAGAGACGACGTGGTGATTCTGTTCTCGGCTCACTCGCTGCCGCTGTCTGTGAGTCTCACCTCATGTTCTATCACCGTCTGCATATGTTTATCCCTCATAATGCATTCAAAAGCTGTATATTATTTTCACATGGTAAATGTTTGGAGTTGTTATTTTATAAAACATTTATAAATTAATATTTTAAGTAATATAATATTTCAATATTTTAAATAATAATAAAAAAGTTTTAAAAATAATAAATTATATTTTAAACTAAAACCATATTTTATCTGATCAACAACTTCTCATTAATGAGTGAATGTGAAAAAAATATATGAGTTTAGAATGTTGCCATGTTATTACTGCATTTCCCCTCTTTTTGATTCATTAAAAAATTGAGAAATTACACCTGAACCACACCAAAAAAACAATATACAAAATAAATATATATTTTTTTCAATATTAATGAGAAATCTTATTTGAATATATCATTGTATGAAATTTATAAGAACAAATAATCTGAGAATTACCAGTATTAAATTACCAGATTTAATGTGATTTAATTTAAACTCATTATTGCTCAAAAACAGTCTAAATTTATGAAATCTACATATTTATTTCTAACAAAACAAAATGAATATTACTCTGAAAAGTATTCAAAGTAAATAAATTCATTTTACTTACATCAACTTTCACTTTCAGATGAAAAAGTGTTACATTTTTCATGCTGCAGTGGTTCATCAGCAGGCGTACTTATTCATGATTATCAACAAAATTCACTCCAAAAGTGTGTGAGATATGGGGAAAAGGCTAAATATATTTTACAAAAGTTTTTTGATACTAATATAACTTAATAACCTAATTTTACAAAAGTATTTTTGACACCTCCAACGGTACTCCATACATAGCTGGGTCCAAAATCCCCCGGGTTATATCTCTTAAAAAATAATCATGAAAAATATGAAAAAAAATAAATGATGTGTATTTTGAGGGTCTTAAAGCATTTGCAAAGTTTTGTTCCCTTACAAAAAAAAAAAAATGCCACATTTAAAAAAAAAAAAAAAATCTGTGTCAAGATGAACCTGAATGCATTATGGGTGTTATTTATTGTTTAGAATAAAAAGTAATAAGCAAACCCCGTCCTGGGCTTTAACTGTGTGTTTAGGTGGTGAACCGGGGCGATCCGTACCCACAGGAAGTTGGCGCGACGGTTCAGAGGGTGATGGACCGATTAGGACACTGTAACCCGTACAGACTCGTCTGGCAGTCAAAGGTCACGATCAGAAATAATTAGTGACCCTGGAGCACAAAAGCAGTCATAAGTCGCTGGGGTATATTTGTAGCAATAACCAACAATACATAGAATGGGTCAAATTTTCCTTTCATGCCAAAAATCATTAGGATATTAAGTAAAGATCATGTTCCATGAAGATATTTTGTAAATTTCCTACCGTACATATATCAAAACTTAATTTTTGATTAGTAATATGCATTGCTAAGAACTTCATTTGGACAACTTTAAAGGTGATTTTCTCAATATTTAGATTTTTTTGCACCCTCAGATTCCAGATTTTCAAATAGTTGTATCTCGGACAAATATTGTCCGACCCTAACAAACCATACATCAATGGAAAGCTTATTTGTGTCCCTGGACCACAAAATCAGTCTTAAGTGTCAATTATTCAAAATTGAGTTTAATACATCATCTGAAAGCTGAATAAATATGAAAATCTGGAATCTGAGGGTGCAAAAAAATCATAATATTGAGAAAATCATCTTTAAAGTTGTTCAAATGAAGTTCTTAGCAATGCATATTACTAATCAAAAATTAAGTTTGGATATATTTACAGTAGGAAAGTAGGAAATTTACAAAATATCTTCATGGAACATGATCTTTACTTAATATCCTAATGATTTTTGGCATAAAAGAAAAATCTATAATTTTGACCCATACAATGTATTTTTGGCTATTGCTACAAATATACCCCAGCGACTTAAGACTGCTTTTGTGCTCCAGGGTCACATTTATTCAGCTTTCAGATTGTATAAATCTCAATTTTAAAAAATTGACCCTTAAGACTGGTTTTGTGGTCCAGGGACACATTTTTCACAATGGAAAAACACGGTTTCATTTACTTTATGTGAAAGCATTGTGTTTATTACGAAGAAGAGCAGCTGGTAAACAGAGTGCTGTAACTGCACTCAGATCTGAGCTCCGCTGAAGGTGATTTGTGTCCCTGCCGGGCTCCTGTAGGTGGGGCCGATGGCGTGGCTGGGGCCGCAGACTGATGAGGTCATCAAGGGCCTCTGTCAGCGCGGGAAGAAGAACCTGCTGCTGGTTCCCATCGCTTTCACCAGCGACCACATCGAGACACTGCACGAGCTCGACATCGAGTACTCACAGATCCTCGGGGAAGAGGTGCGTCTGTTTGCTGCTTTACCTACGTTAAATTAAGATTCTTGTTGCTTAACACTTCAATCAAGTGACTTAATATAAAGTGGTCAACAGTTAAAATATATTTTTAAAATTATATACACATAATATATTGTATAATTGTATATATTTATTATATAATTTCATTATTATAATATATTTAGAATAATATTGTTTACATTTGGCCGACGCTTTTATCCAAAGCAACTTACATTTCATTCGATTTGTTGTTCATGCATTCCCTACAGATCAAACCCATAATAAAAAAAAAAAGATTTATATTATTTATTTATTATATAATTATAATATAATTTATCATTCTTTAATTATAACAACTGTAATAATAGAAAATAATAATAAGAATTATATATATATACTGTATATACATACACACACACACACACATTGAACAGGTAGTTTTACACCAAATACAACTAGATAACCTAGAATACACAAATTGAAAACTGTAGCGATTAAATTTTATATACAGTTGTGATGACTAGCAGCATTTACACACATGGTCAGAATTGTTGGCACCCTTGGTAAATATGATCAAAGAAGGCTGTGAAAGTAAATCTGCATTGTTAATCCTTTTGATCTTTTATTTTTAAAAAATCACAAAAATCTAACCTTTCATTGGAGAATGAGAATTTAAAATGGGGGGGAAATATCATTATGAAATAAATGTTTTTCTCAAATACACGTTGGACACAATTATTGGCACCCCTAGAAATTCTTATGAGTAAAATATATCTGAAATGTATTCCCATTCATATTCACAATTTTGAGCACACCAGCCATGGCTTCCTGTTTCACAGGAATATAAATAGGAGGGAAAACAAAGGCCAAAGTCCAAATCAATCACCCATCACAATGAGAAAAAACAAAGAATATATTTCTGATGTGCAGCAAAAGATAATTGAGCTTCACAAATTAGTGAAGTGGCTTTAAGAAAAGAGCTAGAGCAGTGAAAATTCCCATTTCCACCATCAGGGCAATAATTAAGAATTTCCAATCAACAGAAAATGTTACAAATCTGCCTGGAAGAGGACGTGTGTCTATATCATCCTAATGCACGGTGAGGAGGAGAGTTTGAGTGGCTAAAGACTCTCCAAGGACCACAGCTGGAGAATTGCAGAAAATAGTTGTGTCTCAGGGTCAGAAAACCAACACCGCATGTTGTTTGGGAGGGGTTCAAGAAAAAAAATCAAGAAAAGAAAATGCTCTCATCCAAAAACATTCCCCAGCATATTCTGTTGTCAGACACGACTGGAACTTCAAATGGGACTGGCTTCTATGGTCAGATGTAACTAAAAAATGAGCTTGTGTACAATGAAATATACTGCTGTATTTTTAATGTTGTGGGCCTATATTTCTGCTGGAGGTCCTGGACATCTTGTTTAGACACATGGCATCTTTGATTCTATCAAATACCAACAGATCAAAAATCAGTAAGTGACTGACTCTGTTAGAAATCTTATAATGGGCCATGTTTGGATCTTCCAACCGGACAATAATCCAAAAACAAACCTTAAAAACAACACACAAATTGGTCACTTCTGCTATGGCCAACCCAGTCCTCTGACCTGAACCCTGTAGAAAATGAGTGTGGTGAACTGAAGAGGAGAAGCACCGTCATGGAGCTTTCTTTTTTCAAAAGGTTTCAGAAAGTATTGAATAAAAGGGTGCCGTTAATTGTGTCCAATGTGTATTAGAGAAAAACATTTATTTCATAATGATATTTCCCCCCCCCCATTTTAAATTCTTATTCTCCAACGAAAGGTTAGATTTTTGTGCATTTTTTAAATAAAAGATCAAAAGGATTAACAATGCAGATTTATTGTCATAGCCTTCTTTGATCATATTTACCAAGGGTACTAATGGTAAGCCACACAAGGATTCATTGAATCTGTGAATTGCTGTTTGAGCTGGGAAATGAATAGGAGTCATTGAATGAACTGATTCACTGAAATGAATCAGATATGGCAACACGAGGAGAGTAAGTTTGATCAATGCCTCGGTTTGCTACAGTAAATGACAGAAATCAGTAAATGTCCTGCTTTGTCCCGCAGCAGCTGATGTACTGCAGACTGTAGTGTGTACTGTAGGTTAGTTGTTTCCCATCACTGCAGTGTCTGTTATTAAAGGTGAGCTGAGCGATCTTTGACCTTTGACCTCTGCTCTCATATCTGAGACTCATCGATCAGTGCTTCGCTTCTGAAGAGTGTGAGTGTGTTTCCCAGACTCATGCGGTGTGTGTGTGTTTGCCCTGAGGCTAGCATTAGCGTGAGTCTCTTCTGCCGGTTTCTCTCACCTGTCCATCGATCTGTGGCCCCGGGGCCGCCCGTCTGCAGCAGGGGTCTGATCTGATCCGGTCTCCTGTCTGATCTTCTGGATCTGGGCCTCCGGCAGATGTGGGAAACTGCTGTTTGATAGTATTGGTTTATAGCTAAAACGTATTAAAATGTCAGTGCACATTTTGAGCAATGACATTACTTGGATTAGTATGGCTAACTATAAATAAAACTTAAAAAAATATTTTATAACTTGCAGAATAATAAATATTAACAAAATAATTTTTTTTATTGAAAAATGTATATATAATTTGTGACCCTGGAGCACAAAAGCAGTGTTAAGTCGCTGGGGTATATTTGTAGCAATAGCCAAAAATACATCGTATGGGTCAAAATTATAGATTTTTCTTTTATGCCAAAAATCATTAGGATATTAAGTAAAGATCATGTTCCATGAAGATATTTTGTAAAT